AGGAAGTTTCAAACACGTAAGAAGTTCACAAGTGACACAAGGGAAGTTCAATGAAATTGTTCAGCAAGTTGGAATCAATAGTCAGAGGAGATTAATTCTTGATTTCCCAGTTCGATGGAAGTCAACGTATCTTATGCTTGAAACAGCCTTGGAATACAGGGGTGCATTTTCTTTCCTGCAAGAGCATGACCCTTCGTATACATCAGCTTTAACAGACACAGAATGGTTTATTTGAAACTTCTTGTTGAAATCACCAATGTCTTTTGTGGCAACAAATGTCCAACTGCAAGTATATATTTTCCTGAGATTTGTGATGTTCACATCCAATTAATTGAATGGTGCAAGAGCCAAGACGAATTTCTTAGTTCTATAGCATTAAAGATGAAAGCTAAGTTTGATAAGTACTGGAGCAAGTGCAGTTTGGCTTTGGCAGTGGCAGCAATCTTGGATCCCCGATTCAAAATGAAGTTGGTGGAGTATTACTACTCCCAAATATATGGTAGTACTGCTCTGGATAGGATTAAGGAAGTTTCCGATGGCCTCAAGGAACTTTTTGATGCTTATTCAATTTGCTCAACAATGGTTGATCAAGGTGAGTACCAGCACTGATGGTAGGGATCGATTGAAGGGATTTGACAAATTTCTCTACGAGACCTCTCAGAGCCAAAACATGATATCAGACTTGGACAAGTATCTAGAGGAACCAGTTTTTCCACGCAATTGTGATTTTAAGATATTAAATTGGTGGAAGGTCCACACACCAAGGTACCCTATTTTGTCCATGATGGCACGTGACGTTCTGGGAACTCCTATGTCAACTGTTGCACCAGAATCAGCATTCAACGCTGGCGGTAGACTGCTTGATGAATGTCGAAGCTCACTGAATCCTGACATTCGAGAGGCTTTGGTATGCACACAAGATTGGTTGAGGGTGGAATTAAAAGGCATGCGAATTACAGTTTGAGTTTTACGTTTGTCTTTCGTTATGACCTATACTTAGCAGTAATCTTATTGCAATAATTATTGATAACTCTTTTCTATCAGATGACAATTCATTGTCAAGCCGTTCTGCTAGACCAATCCCTTCAGCCAGACTAATTCGTGCTGAGTAGTTAATTTTCTGATGGTATGTTTCTGCTACATTTCCTGCATTTCTCCATATCTATTTCACTAACAGTATGCAGCAATGTACCGACTTATGGTGTAATCTTGTGATGCAAGGTTGATGGATAAGCTATTGGCCTATCCGGTGCTGTTAAAATGATGTCAGACACACCTAAAGCTGGTCTGGGCAGTGAACCTTATCTATATTTCCATCTCTTGATATCTATCCATACAGATATCAAGTAGGTGATTGGTGTGAGGAATGAGTAATTTAGAGTGCTATTTATACACACGTTAGTAAAGATATTTACTACAAATTACTTTTCTACATCTCCAGACCTACAAAGACGATAGTGAGTCAAGAGATAAAAGACAAAAAGGATGGTCCATCCCTAAAACAAATTGCAAACAGTGATGGTTCAACTTCATCCCCAAAGAAACGTCAGGCACATATATAGCAATAATCGATCTACTTAATTAGTTTTAAAAATCATTTTCCACAAGAGAATTGAAATATTGACACCTGTGGTTTCTTGTCAAGCTTAATTGTAAATTTTAGGATATCAACCAGATCCCGACATCTGTACGTAAATTAGAGGGACCTCCTTCGCATGTTTTAGATTGAACAGAAGCTGAAATTAACAAAATGTGGGATGCTCAATCAGTAATCTATATATTTATGTTTATGCACAAAACCTTCATCTCAAATTCTCAATCAATATATTTTAGATTATTCTTACAGTATGAACTCCTCACTGTTACTGGAACAGTATCATCGATGATGTTATTCCCGCGTACTTTGAAGATGCAGGTATTACTTTACCGGTAGATATAGACAAGCTTTCGTCCATGTTGCTCCGCATTGGCTTCAATCCAGTAAGGAGGGTAACAATATGGTGAGGGAATCATTTGGAAAGATAACCATAGGCAATTTTTAAACCCGTTTTGGTAAAAATACCCAACTCCAATGAAAGGTTGGGTCAAAAATGTGTGGAATCCACCAGGCCGAATGATGGCCTTCTGGCTATCGGGTTGGCTATTTCTAACTGTCCACTCAGCTGTTTGTTGGGGCCCATTTGTCACCTTCCAACGTGCTGATATCAGCAGCAATGACTAGTTGACGTCATCTAGTTGTTGGATTTTTTTATATTTTATATTTTTTTTTCAGACGAAATCTTAAAAAAAAAAAAAATTAATTGTAATTTTTTTTCCTATAATATGTTGTGGTCTTTAATATTTAAGTTATCTCATTTCAATTAAGTTGTATTTCAGTTAAATTGTGGAGAGTTACTCATTTAGCAACACATGTCACTCGAAATCCGATCCAAAAAATTATTGAAATTATATAAGGATAAGAAATCCGGAGGCTTATTCATTTAGCGACAAGTCGTATTCAAAATATATCTAGATAATAAATTAAAAATGGAGGCTTATTTTAATATGATAGTTTAATTCAATTACCGAATAAGTTAAAAACAAACTTAAAAATAATAAATTATTGAGGAGCTATGTTTAGCCCCAGTTGGAGATAGTATATACATATAGTTTGACACTATTCATTTAAAAATAATTTTTTGCAGGGCTATATTTAGCCATTTCGGTTGGAGATGACCTTATAACACACATTATCATAGAGTTCGACAATGTTACTGTTCATGTAGCACACTAGTGATCCAATTATACTTCCATTCCTAACCGAGGTGTCTATGGACCACTTATATCTACACTTACTGTGACACCAAGTAAGTTTTGACCGCGTTATTGGATTTCTGATTTTCTTTCTACTTGCACGCATCTTAAAGTCCTGAGAACTTTCACTCGTCAGATTTTAAGGTTAAGAAGAGAAAATTTTCACTGTGACGGGAACATGGGTGGTACACCACTTGTTTTTATATACGTGGTGGGAAATTGTATTTTTTAAGTTATTAACTTTTTAGCACATATATTTCATCATTGATATAATGACACATGGTGTACCACTCCGTGTTCTAGTCACATTGAAAAATCTCTCGATACTAGTTACTGGGGGCTATCTGCCGCATTTGTGTCTGTCGCATTGGTTTTGGTTGTCCTCCGAATGGCTGGTTACTAAGGGTCTAAAGACGAAGATGAAGGTGAGGATAATCTCTGCATATAAAGTTTTCATATGCCTCATTGGATGTTGTTTTCTAAAATTCTTGTGTCTGAACTGCGTCGTGGGCTGGAACAAAAAACTGGTTATTTTACTCTACGACAAATCAAAGCTGCCACTGGTAACTTTATCAGCCAAGTAAATTCTACATACCTAATTGAAATATCATTTTTGTGACTTATTTTACAGTTTCTTGTGCCCCAAGGTAATGGTCGAGTTCTTATCAGCAGACGGCAGTGTCATTGCTAGCTCAAGCTATCCGTACGGGCCAATTCACTTCACTGAAATATTTCTCAAAACCACTCCTCTCATTGCCGGTTTACAATCAGGAACCCAAGTTCTGAACATAAAAACGATTGAACACATTGAAGCGCTGCAGCCGACAGCTTGCTTGAAGGTGGTACTAGAGCAAAGAGCAGAGTGTTCAAAAATGGTGCAGGCATACCTCAAATTTACGCTGCATCACTAGAGCTTGAATCTGAGCTTCCTCGGTTGAAAAGATTTTTCAACATCAGTCTTGGTTGTTTGCTTCCAGTCTGGTATTGGAATCTGGCCGGAAGCTTTCGTAGGTTTCATTTGCTCTTATGTAATTGAACAAAAATTTGCAATCAATGTCACAACACGTTTCGGCAGAAAAATTCTGTGCATAGCAGATGTGTATCGATATTGTCGAAAAAATAAAAAAATATTGCACAACATGTCAGTGCGTTTTGTTGATGGTAAAAAAGTATGGATAACATGGTCCAGAGTCATTAGTTTGGTTAAAAAGAAATTAAGAATGCCTTTTCTGACTTTCTTGGTGGAAGTATGCATGGAATGTCATGTTCTGGATTCTGAATAATGAATGGTCATGATAGGTTGTTGTACTTTGGCCATGATGTGGCTTTTAGAAGGTTTCACATCGGGAATTAGACTCATGGCCAATTAGAGCTTTTATTTTTTATTTTCAATACAATCAATATTGATAGAGGGGGATTCGAATTTAGAATCTTCAGTGTGAAAGTAAATGTCTTTAACCACTTAAATTACAAATCTTTTGCAGAGTTACTTTGTTTTTAAATTTTCTATTATTTGGAATTGGGATGAGCGACAAAAATTCACAATAAGAAGGTAACATCATTTCACTGTATAAATGTTAAGATCAAAATTTGACCGTTTAATTATTCGTATGAATCAAAGGAATTGACGATTCATCATAATGATGCTACTTGTTACTGTAATAATTGATTTGTTAAGACACAATATGGATTAATAAGCTGCCCCCAAATTCAACAATTTTTTCTAGAGATGATATTTAAATGATGATAAAGAGAGTCAATGATTCTCATATCGTATTATGCAGTGAAATGATTTCACATTAATAGAAAATAAAAACTTTCCTCCACCGCGAAAATGAGAGAAAGTATTGTCCTAATAGGATACAATGGGCCAAGAAGTAGAATGAGGATCATTTTTGTGAGGATCCCGGTGATTCTCCAATCACATCATTTCATTGTATATTGTGCGGTCAGAAATCATTGTAAATTTTTTTATTTGAAATTGAATATAAACAGCACCTGACAAAAATTGGCCGCACGATGTACGATAAAAGGACGTGATTAGAGGATCCCCATGATCCTCAAAAAGAGGATCCTCATTCCAAGCAGTAAACATAAAAGGAAGTAAAACAGGTTCCAACATCCACATCCGATCAAGCAAAGCTCTGAGTTCCGGTTCCATGGTAATTGCAATTATTTTGGTTTGAACCATATGATTTTTTTTTTTCGGACACAGAACTATATGATTGTTATAACAAATTTTTCTTGCTAAACTAACGGCCAGATACTTGAACAAGAAACCCTATGGAGGATTCAAATAAAGTGGCCCTCCGCCCACGGGGGTCTATATATCACCAAATTCCAAATTAATGATGTAGCAGCCTCTGATGCTTTCTTGTTCAGCAGTTCATACTTCAATGTCAACTATTAACGTTTTTTTTAGACAAGGAACAGGTACACTATTACGTGAATTCGTTTCATGCTAAAAAGATAAGAGTATGTAAAATTTCATCTACATGTCCTTATTTCAATGGCACAAGACGCCATCGTTTTGATAGTTTCAATCATGAATGTTTCAAAGAATTAAATTGTAGAGAATCTCATTCCAAGTATCTGGGACTCCACAAAGACACCAATGAGTACAGTCCATTCCGGTGCGGCCTCCCAACCCATAAATTGAAGGATGTCCATCTTTACGCAGGAGTGAGAGAATTGTTATATCTAGCAATGTCACTGGCTTTTTGATTGTGCTCAACACATTCTTCAGCACACTCAGAGCTGGTGGCAAACCTCCTGGATAGGTCGACCCAAACAAAGGCTCCTTTTGCCCTACACAACTTCTTGCCCTTGGTTCTTGCCATTCACTGCCACTAAAATCAAAATTAAGAAAAGAAAGTTAGACTTATGATTGATGTCACTGGAACAAACTTCATAAACAATTCTCCACAACAACTTAATAAAAAATTACAATGACAATTGTTTTCACGTATATTTGGATGATTATTAGTCGTTGATATACCATGTATTAAATTTTACTTTTGTAAATATTCTTGATTGACATCCACTCACGACGACATCTAATAAAAAAAAATTAAAGCTAATGTGTATGTCACCAAAACGTTGAATTTTATTTCACATAACTTTTAATTACACTTCAATAAGTTGTTCTAACTTCTACGTACACTCTTCTTTAATGAGAATATAGTGGAGAAATTGCACTATGAAGGGCGTTGTGAGTATAAGATAGAGTGCTAATAACAATTCCGTTTTAATTTAAAATTTAACGATTATTATCTTAGATTAGTTATAGGGGATGGATTCATGACACTATTTTTTTATACAACTTTTGACACAAGGCTTAGTGGGGCCCACTTTCTAATGTGTTTTAACGATTTCAGCTATTTTAGATCTTCCCTCATAAATCATGTCTACCAAAAATCACTCAAATATAAAATCAAATGACCATTAGATCTAGGGTTTCTTTGTAGAACTATATTCGTTTATTTTCTTACTACAAATAAATATCTTAATGATTTTGAATTTGTCTAATTTTTTTGAAGATGATCTATAAATGATATTCTAAAAGATAAACGGTTCAGATCATTAAAATATATTACGAAATGCCCCACAAAAACATATGTGAAAAATTATGTAAAAAAATAATGTCACAGAACTGCCCCTTAGTTATATAAGATAAGGAACGTACTTGTAATGAGAAGGAGATATTCCTTGGAAGAAAACCCTGGACTTTGAAGGATCAATGTTTGAATCAACCCATCCAGCCCAAGTAATAAGTGCCTTCTCAAAAGCAAGCATGCGGTCAATGTCTTTGCTTATCTGGCCTCCTACTTCAACATAATCCCATCTGCAAAATTAATAATTAATTAATTTGGTTTTTGCCTTTTAACCCCAGTTAAAATTAAATCAAAAGATCCACTTAGTACTAAAGTCTAGTGATATTCTTCTTTACTTATAAGTGAGAGGTCTTAAATTCGATTCTTGTCACGAATTTGAATCATATTATTGTTAGCCCATTATGAGGTTGAGTTCATCATTTTTCCTTTAATGCATATAATATTGATTGTTAAAAAATAAATAAATAAATCAAAAGAAAATTAAATATTATGGTAAATATAGTTGTAGGATTTACGGTTGAGAGGGTCCTCTCCGATTCCACCAATGCCAAGTGTTGAAGATAAGCATGTCAATATCCTTCCATAACTTGCCTCCCACTATTGAATCAAGCTTCAAGACCCTCCCAATGTTTTCTTTTACAATATCTACTAGATACACATTGCGGTCCAGCATCACTCTAACTTCATAATCCTGCAGTAATTTGATTGTATTTTTCACCATGCCATTTACCGCAAGAAAAATAAAAATCAGAGAGAGGACCACATGCTTCTTGTTTGGTAGAGCCGGGACAAAGGTCTATGTCAAATATTGTCCAACCAGGGAATTGAAAGGTGAAATTTGTCATGGACCAATAGTTCCAAAAAGAAAATGGACCAATAGGGATGGACCTTAACCAAGTCTAAAATATTGTATATGATGGATGCATTGCATTCACCGATACCAAATTGATGTGATTTCATTTGATGAATTAAGTTGGTAATTTTTTGAAAAGTTCATTATTATTAAAAGGAAGGGGAGGATTCGAAACCAAGCCAAAGATATTGAACCATATAGAAATTAAGTTGGTAATTAGATATAAAGTGCTAATACAATTTTAATTATGCTATTTAGATACAAAACTACATTGTTTCCGAACTCTCTTAAACAGAGTTGGAACATACCAATTATATGTGGAACTCAAATAGCATTACTCATACACATTTTTCTATCATTGTTTTCTTATGTTATGTTGTCAAATTGTCAATTTCGATTACACTTTTGAACAACTTACTAATTAATGGTTTGGATTCAAAGTCTTGCAACAAAATATGTATACCATTTGGCAACAAATTTATTCACCTAGCAAAGATGAAATAATAACAAAAACAAAGTGCAAGTTTAACGTACTGTAAATTCGAAGATAGATACATCGTCTACTCTTGTCACATTATACTTCGCAGTTGGCACAGCCGAATGAAGCATGCATGTTAGGGACTGCCATTGATTTCGGCTTAATGAATCTCCAACAAACATGATGCTTTTCCCTCTAAATCTTTTGAAGAAGTCAAGCCCGTTAAATCTACAAAATAAAAGTTATCAATATTTTAGTGTTTTCTTATCAGAAAATTTACCATGTTATATTGCTAAACTATAAGATTAAAACGATTAGTTAGAACTTATGTCTGGCTTTGGTTAACAATTTAGGTACACAATCTCCTTATACATGGCAAGAAAATTTACACACGGATTCATCAATGGTGGACAATCCACGATTCCACTTGTATATGTGTACTTGTGAGAAAGTTAAACGATAATCATTATTCATAATTCATATAATAAGCATGTTAATCCTTTCCAAATTTTAGAAAAAAAAACATTAAGAGTTTGAATTTCTATTTACTATGACTCAACCCAAATCCCCGCCAATTTGTATAATATATTATTGTTATTGCAAAAAATATAAGCTTTGGTAAAATCAGGCTAGGTTTTTCTAAGTATGTGGTCTAATATCTTAACGAATAGCATGTTGAGTTCCACCCATGCGTTCTGAGTTCGAAACTCAATTCCTCATTTCTTAAATTATTGTAATAGTTTTGGAATATCTTTTCCTAAGTTTTTTCTGAACCTAATCATATGATAATTTTCTTTTATGTCAAACACGAAGAACTCGCATGACAAATATGGCACCACCGAAGCCCGTGAGCTATATTACACGACTTTAAAAAATAGTTTGATGAATTTCATTAATAATTGTCACATGAGTAGAGGCCATATCACATGAGTGTGGGACTAGAAAGAATCCAATTCCGTCACCACTGTGCCATCGCATTATCAAGACGATCACAGTTCACACAAACCAAGGATGCAATTGTCACCTATGAAAGGCTGCCATCACCGACATTTTCCATGCGGCCAAACATTATATTGCTTGCGAAAATCATTGGGAGAGTGTCGCTTTATATATTCAGAGGGGCCCCTCTGCAAGAATTTTTGTGTTTTTAAACATAACATTGATCTACTCAGTTCACAGGATGTCTCCCCCACGAATTATATAAAATTTGTTCATGTGTTTTTATTTTTGGTCAGAAAATTTGTTCATTGTTTGAGATGTAAAAAGGATCACAGTCAAGATCTAAATTTACTTTTTATATTTCGAAAAATGTTATCAAAACAAGTCATTTTCTTAGAATTGATTTGGAATGTGGAATTTCAAATGTAAACAGTGTTATTCATGTCTCCAAAATAAACAGAAGAATGACAAATTAGTTAATCTTTATAAATTCATATAGTTATATAAATCCATAACAACAAATTAGTCTAAACTTGTGTAACCCGCATTTTTTACAACAATGTTCAAATAGTTTTTAGTTTTAGTCCTATAAAATCGGAAGTCTTTATACTGATGCATTGGAAACACGAGGAAAGAAGATGGAGACTACTAAGAACTAAAAACTACTAAACCCTGTTTAGTCTAAGAAACCTCGGAACTAGGCAAATAAAACACTAAAACATCTGTTAAATTCTAGCAATGTCGAGACAACTCTTTGTTTTTTTTTTTCCTTCAATTTTTTGATTCATGAAAAAAAAAACTAACTTCCACTCAATGATACAACTATTTAAAGACACTAGGAGCAACTGTTACAAGAACTCAACAGCCCTCACTTACTAACAACATTAACACATAACCCTTACAACTTCAAATACATGAGACGTATAAAATCTAAGAACCTAAGCTTCTTTTTCTATACTAAACTAAAGCATGACCCATCTAACTTCCTTATGCATGTAACATGGCCTATCCAACGATGCATGTAAATGTCATCGTATATATGGCATCATATACTAATTAATGAAAAATTTACCCCCAGTTTTTGGTCCACCAGAAACTATAGCTACAGCGGCAAAGAGTACAACTGCTGGTCCCGATCTCATGACTGCACTTAGGCAGGAGATATATAGGATGAGCCAAGCCAACAACTAGGAAAATAATAAGCAATAATATTTGCACTAATAATCGCAACAAAAGAAAGGCATTAATAATAATAAGTAGAAGAAGAGAAGCCAGAGAGAGAGAGAGAGAGCTTGGTGTGCACCTTGCTAAATCACAGTCATGTGGTTGCCATCTGTATTTGGTGTAAATCTGATCGGGACGGCCATTCTTTTGGCAGGTAAACTCATGCTCAATGAAGGGGCATGAGGAAGGATTGTAGAGCGGGTAGGATTGGTCCAAAATCCATCTCCCTTTGAAGAAATCACATGACAATGACGACGATGACGATGGCTCACCAATTCTTTCACCATTTACTAATACTACTACTTGGTAATCAGAAACAAGAAGAAGGAGGAAAACAGCTATACTACTCATACAAAAACTACTATTAACCCAGACATCCATGAGCAATTTTCTAGAGAGAGAGATCGGTGTTTAAAAGAAATGGTAATGGGACTACAAACTGTTATCTCTATTTTCTCTTTATCTCTTATAGCTCCTATATTTATAAGTCTTGTCTGTATATACGTGAGAGAGAGAGGATGGAAAATTGGCAATTTGTGTATCTTTGAGGCAATGGTTTACGTTGCCCTTTTCTCTTCACGCAGATCTCTTTTGGGTCGAATAAATAAAAAAGGAATTAAATGACAGCTTTAAATAAAAAATTTCAAAAAGAATAAGATATGTAGAAACTATAATCATTTATTTATTTTTTTTTTGGGTTAAACAAAGGGGCTAATAGCCCGACAAATGAGAAATTACAAAATTATGTTGCGAGGTTGAAAGACTTTAGAAATATCAGACAATTATAACTGCTACAAGAAGAAGAAGTAGATCGGACCCAAAGGATGAGGGAGGCTTAGGTTGGTCAACTCATCAGTCACAAAATTTATCTCACAATATATCAAATATTACATTTCTAGTTACACAGTGACATTCCATGACAAGCTTATCAATTCACCAATAGGAAAATTATCAGTGGCACACTAGAAGTGTTGCCTTTTTTATCAAGAAAAATCTTGCATTACCTTATAATTAACAATTATTTTATATAGAAAAATCGTCCGTAATAAGATTGTACCCGATTTAAGTTCCTAACTCTCAACTAAATAATAAATACTAATTAAAACCCTAAGTTAGGAATTTCGGAGTTGTCATTTCATGGTCATTTTGAATAGAGGAATGCGAACTTTCATGTTTCTTCATTTTTTTTCCTTTCCATAAATTCACATAAACATGAGCATTAGTTACGGATTAATGTTCGATATAAAATTTGCCATGGTAATTGTATTAACTAATTTATTCACATAAATTAGCACATCATGTTTCATATGAGAAATGCTAAGAGAACTCTCTAAAAGTATGACTCTTCATGAATTCTCTGTCACCTTACAGTTTAACATCAATATCCCCAGAAAGATACGTGGCCATGAAACATGGATTAAGTGGAACATAATTGACTGGGCGATAAAGTCGTGGAAACTCCTGTTTCTTCCTTATTTTGGACCTTAGCTCCATGGAACAATATACTAACTACTACTGAAACATTGAAGAATTGAAATCTTACATTAAAGTGCCAACATTATAAAACATTGTGCAAAAATATGAGGTGGTAGAGAGTTTTACTTTTGAGAGGATCTCCTTATCATTTCTCTATTTTAGTTTTTTTAAAACAAACGATATTGTCTATACTAAAGGAGTGAGAGATTGGGCTAATCCTCACAATGGATAAGGAATAATGTGGTTCAAATTTTCCTTTAACCAGAGTTGAACTTAAAATCTCTTACTTACAAATAAAGAGAAATACCACTAAATCGTGGTACTAAGTGACCATTTCTCCATATTAGTTGATAACTAAACATTGAAATAAGTAGTCGGTAACTTGAGTATGATTATTGTTTCTTTATTACTTTTCTTGCTTCTGTCATAGTTGTTTCTGATGAGCAATTGGCTAATCTTTATACCTTGTATACTTGTATGATTTATCACGATAAAGTTTAGAAAAGACTTTGGCGTTTTTTTCTTGAATGTTCCATTAATTGCTGTCTCAAAGGATCCAGTATATCAACATCAATAAAAATTGAAACCCTCATGCAACTGAGTCACATGCTGTAGGGGCTAAATTGTGGAACCGGACGGCTCACCTAACCGTCTTACTCTTTTATTTATTTTTTTGGAACTTTCGTGAAAAGAATTTGGACTAAGTTTATTTTAATAAAAAATCATGCTATAACTTTATTTAATGAAAAAAACTTAAATTTTAATGAAAAACCTTTAAACTTTAATAAAAAGTACAAAAAAAAATTAAATCTTAATGAAAAATACATAATTTTAATATTATATATATATAAAAAAAAAAAAAAAAAAAAACTGAAGAGCATGATCCGCGCATCCTCACACTATGGTGTAATCCGCGCGTCCATTCTGCTAGACCAATCCCTTCAGCCAGACTAATTCTTGCTGAGTAGTTAATTTTCCGATGGTATGTTTCTGCTACATTTCCTGCATTTCTCCATATCTATTTCACTAACAGTACGCAGCAATGTACCGACTTATGGTGTAATCTTGTGATGCAAGGTTGATGGATAAGCTATTGGCCTATCCGGTGCTGTTAAAATGATGTCAGACACACCTAAAGCTGGTCTGGGCAGTGAACCTTATCTATATTTCCATCTCTTGATATCTATCCATATAGATATCAAGTAGGTGATTGGTGTGAGGAATGAGTAATTTAGAGTGCTATTTATACACACGTTAGTAAAGATATTTACTACAAATTACTTTAGTACATCTCCAGACCTACAAAGACGGTAGTGAGTCAAGAGATAAAAGACAAAAAGGATGGTCCATCCTCAAAACAAATTGCAAACAGTGATGGTTCAACTTCATCCCCAAAGAAACGTGAGGCACATATACAGCAATAATCGATCTACTTAATTAGTTTTAAAAATCATTTTCCACAAGAGAATTGAAATATTGACACCTGTGGTTCCTTGTCAAGCTTAATTGTAAATTTTAGGATATCAACCAGATCCCGACATCTGTACGTAAATTAGAGGGACCTCCTTCGCATGTTTTAGATTGAACAGAAGCTGAAATTAACAAAATGTGGGATGATCAATCAGTAATCTATATATTTATGTTTATTTACAAAACCTTCATCTCAAATTCTCAATCAATATATTTTAGATTATTCTTACAGTATGAACTCCTCACTGTTACTGGAACAGTATCATCGATGATGTTATTCCCGTGTACTTTGAAGATGCAGGTATTACTTTACCGGTAGATATAGACAAGCTTTCGTCCATGTTGCTCCGCATTGGCTTCAATCCAGCAAGGATGGTAACAATATGGTGAGGGAATTATTTGGAAAGATGACCATAGGCAATTTTTAAGCCCGTTTTGGTAAAAATACCCAACTCCAATGAAAGGTTGGGTAAAAAATGTGTGGAATCCACCAGGCCGAATGATGGCCTTCTGGCTATCGGGTTGGCTATTTCTAACTGTCCACTCAGCTGTTTGTTGGGGCCCATTTGTCACCTTCCAACGTGCTAACATTAGCAGCAATGGCTAGTTGACGTCATCTAGTTCTTGGATTTTTTTTTATATATATATTTTTTCAGACGAAATCTTAAAAAAAAAAAAGAAAAAAAAATTAATTGTAATTTTTTTTCCTATAATATGTTGTGGTCTTTAATATTTAAGTTATCTCATTTCAATTAAGTTGTATTTCAGTTAAATTGTGGAGAGTTACTCATTTAGCAACACGTGTCACTCGAAATCCGATCCAAAAAATTATTGAGATTATATAAAGATAAGAAATCCGGAGGCTTATTCATTTAGCGACAAGTTGTATTCAAAATATATCTAGATAATAAATTAAAAATGGAGGCTTATTTTAATATGATAGTTTAATTCAATTACGTAATAAGTTAAAAACAAATTTAAAAATAATAAATTATTGAGGAGCTATGTTTAGCCCCAGTTGGAGATAGTATATACATATAGTTTGACACTATTCATTTAAAAATAATTTTTTGCAGGGCTATATTTAGCCATTTCGGTTGGAGATGACCTTATAACACACATTGTCATAGAGTTCGAAAATATTACTGTTCATGTAGCACACTAGTGATCCAATTGTGATTTTAAGATATTAAATTGGTGGAAGGTCCACACACCAAGGTACCCTATTTTGTCCATGATGGCACGTGACGTTCTGGGAACTCCTATGTCAACTGTTGCACCAGAATCAGCATTCAACGCTGGTGGTAGACTGCTTGATGAATGTCGAAGCTCACTGAATCCCGACATTCGAGAGGCTTTGGTATGCACACAAGATTGGTTGCGGGTGGAATTAAAAGGCATGTGAATTACAGTTTGAGTTTTACGTTTGTCTTTCGTTATGACCTATACTTAGCAGTAATCTTATTGCAATAATTATTGATAACTCTTTTCTATCAGATGACAATTCATTGTCAAGCCATTCTGCTAGAACAATCCCTTCAGTCAGACTAATTCGTGCTGAGTAGTTAATTTTCCGATGGTATGTTTCTGCTACATTTCCTGCATTTCTCCATATCTATTTCACTAACAGTACGCAACAATGTACCGACTTATGGTGTAATCTTGTGATGCAAGGTTGATGGATAAGCTATTGGCCTATCCGGTGCTGTTAAAATGATGTCAGACACACCTAAAGCTGGTCTGGGCAGTGAACCTAATCTATATTTTCATGTCAATACATCACATGAGACTCGATAATCGCCTGTGGTTCCTTGTCAAGCTTAATTGTAAATTTTAGGATGTCAACCAGATCCCCTCATCTGTACGTAAATTAGAGGGACCTCCTTCGCGTTGTTTTAGATTGAACAGAAGCTGAAATTAACAAAATGTGGGATGCTCAATCAGTAATCTATATATTTATGTTTATGCACAAAACCTTCATCTCAATTCTCAATCAATATATTTTAGATTATTCTTACAGTATGAACTCCTCACTGTTACTGGAAGAGTATCATCGATGATGTTATTCCCGCGGACTTTGGACATGCAGGTATTACTTTTCCGGTAGATATAGACAAGCTTCCGTCCATGTTGCTCCGCATTGGCTTCAATCCAATAAGGAGGGCAACGATATGGTGAGGGAATCATTTGGAAAGATAATGGTAACCATAGGCAATTTTTAAGCCCGTTTTGGTAAAAAAAATCCAACTCCAATGAAAGGTTGGGTAAAAAACGTGTGGAATTCATTAGTCTGAATGATGGCCTTTTGGCTATCAGGCTGGCTATATTAGCTGTTTGTTGGGGCCCACCAGTCACCCTTCAATGTGTTGACATCAGCAACAATGGCTAATTGACGTCATCTAGCTGTTTGATTTTATTTTATTTAATTTTATTTTTTCAGATGAAATCTAAATTAAATTCTATTTTTCTTATAATATTTTGTAGTCTTTAATATTTAAGTTGTTGTAGATTTAATATTTACGTTCTCGTATTTCAATTAAGTTGTATTTCAATTAAATTGTGGAGAGTTACTCATTTAGCAACATGTGTTACTCAAAATCCAATCCAAAAAATTATTGAGATTATATAAAGATAAGAAATCCGGAAGCTTATTCATTTAGAGACAAATGTCACTAAAAATATGTCTGGATAATAAATTAAAAACGGAGGCTTATTTTAATATGGTAGTTTAATTTAATTACCCAATAAGTTAACAACTTAAAAATAATAAATTATTGAGGGGCTACGTTTAGCCTCGGTTGGAGATAGTATATAAATATAATTTGACACGTTCATTTAAAAATAATTTTTTGTAGGACTATAATTCTAGATAGGGCTATATTTAGCCTTTTTAGTTGGAGATGACCTTATAGCACACATTATCATAGAGTTCGACAATGTTACTGTTCATGTAGCACACTAGTGATCCAATTATACTTCCATTCCTAACCGAGGTGTCTATGGACCACTTATATCTGCACTTACTATGACACCAAGTAAGTTTTGCCCGCGTTGTTGGATTTCTGATTTTCTTTCTTGCATGCATCTTAAATTCCTTAGAACTTTCACTTGTCATATTTTAAGGTTGATACTGGGGGCTATCTGCCGGTTCTATTGCCGGTATTATAGTAGCAGCATTTGTGTCTGTCGCATTGGTTTTAGTAGTACTCCGAATGGCTGGTTACTTAGGGGCTAAAGACGAAGATGAAGGTGAGGATAATCTTTGCATATAAAGTTTTCACATGCCTCATTGTATGTTGTTTTCTAAAATTCTTGTGTCTGAACTGCGTCGTGGGCTGGAACAAAAAACTAGTTATTTTACTCTACGACAAATCAAAGCTGCCACCGGTAACTTTATCAGCTAAGTAAATTCTACATACCTAATTGAAATATCATTTTTGTGACTTATTTTACAGTTTCTTGTGCCCCAAGGTAATGGTCGAGTTCTTGTCAGCAGACGGCAGTGTCAGTGCTAGCTCAAGCTATCCGCGTGGGCCAATTCACTTCACTGAAACATTTCTCAAAACCACTCCTCTCATTGCCGGTTTACAATCAGGAACCCAAGTTCTGAACATAAAAACGATTGAACACATTGAAGGGCTGCAGCCGACAGTGTGCTTGAAGGTGGTACTAGAACAAAGAGCAGAGTGTTCCAAAATGGTGCGGGCATACCTCAAATTTACGCTGCATCACTACAGCTTGAATCTGAGCTTCCTCGGTTGAAAAGATTTTTCAACATCAGTCTTGGTTGTTTGCTTCCAGTATGGTATTGGAATCTGGCCGGAAGCTTTCATAGGTTTCATTTGCTCTTCTGTAATTGACAAAAATTTGCAATCAGTGTCACAACACGTTTCATCAGAAAAACTCTGTGCATGGCAGATGTGTATCGATATTGTCAAAAAAGAATGTACAACATGTCAGTGCGTTTTGTTGGCGGTAAAAAGGTATCGATAACATGTTCCAGGGTCATTACTTTGGTTAAAAGGAAATTGAGAATGCCTTTTCTGACCTTCTTGGTGGAAGTATGGAATGTCTCGTTCTGGATTCTGAATAATGAAGTGGTCATGATACGTTGTTGTACTTTGGCCATGATGTGGCTTTTAGAAGGTTTCACATCGGGAATTAGACTCATAGCTAATTAGAGCTTTTATTTTTTATTTTCAATACAAGCAATATTGATAGAGGGGGATTCGAATTTAAAATCTTGAGTGTGAAAGTAAATGTCTTAACCGCTTAAATTTTCTATTATTTGGAAATGGGATGAGCAACAAAAATTCATGATAAGAAGGTGACATCATTTCATTGTATAAATGTTAAGATCAAAATTCGACCGTTTAATTATTCATATGAATAAAAGGAATTGACAATTCATCATAATGATGCTACTTGTTACTGTAATCATTGATTTGTTAAGACACAATATGGATTAATAAGCTGCCCCCAAAGTCAACAATTTTTTCTAGACACAATATTTAAAAGATGATAAAGAGAGTCAATGATTCTCATATAGTATTATGTAGTGAAATAATATCACATTAATAGAAAATAAAAACTTTCCTCCGCCGTGGCAATGAGAGAAAGTATTGTCCTAATAGGATACAATGGGCCAAGAAGTAGAATGAGGATCCTCTCCGGATCCTCTTTGTGAGGATCCGGAAGATCATCTAATCACATCCGTTCATCGTACATCGTACGATCAGAAATCATTGTAAATTTTTTTATTTGAAATTGACTATAAATAGTACCTGATGAAAATTGGCTGCACGATGTATGATGAAATGATATGATTCGGCTAGATAGTAGATACTTGAACAAGAAACCCTATGGAGGATTCAAATAAAGTGGCCCACCGCCCACGGGGGTCTACATCTCACCAAATTCCAAATTAATGAGTGTAGCAGTCTCTGATGCTTTCTTGTTCAGCAGTTCATACTTTAATGTCAACTATTAACGTTTCTTTTATATCAAGATAAGGGACAGGTACACTATTACATGAATTTATTTCATGCTAAAAAAATGAGAACATGTAAAATTTTATCTACATGTCTTTATTTCAATGGCACAAGGCGCCATCGATTTGATAGTTTCAATCATGAACGTTTGAAAGAATAAAGTTGTAGAGAATCTCATTCCAAGTATCTGGGACTCCACAAAGACACCAATGACTACAGTCCATTCTGGTGCGGCATCCCAACCCATAAATTGAAGGATGTCCATCTTTACGCAGGAGTGAGAGGTTTGTTATATCTAGCAATGTCACTGGCTTTTTGATTGTGCTCAACACATTCTTCAGCACACTCAGAGTTGGTGGCAAACCTCCTGGATAGGTCGACCCAAGCAAAGGCTCCTTTTGCCCTACACAACTTCTTGCCCTTGGTTCTTGCCATTCACTGCCACTAAAAGCAAAATTAAGAAAAGAAAGTTAGAGACTTATGATTGATGTCACTGGAACAAACTTCATAAACAATTCTCCACAACAACTTTATAAAAAATTATAATGACAATTGTTTTCACTGTATATTTGGATGATTATTAGTCGTTGATATACCATGTATTAAATTTTACTTTTGTATATATTCTTGATTGACATCCACTCACGACCACGTCTAATAAAAAAAATTAAAGCTAATGTGAATGTCATCAAAACGTTGAATTTTAATTCACATAACTTTTAATTACACTTCAATTTGTTCTAACTTCTACGTACACTCTTCTTTAATGAGAATATAGTGGAGAAATTGCACTATGAAGGGCGTTGTCAGTATAAGATAGATTTCTTAAAGTGCTAATAGCAATTCCGTTTTAATTTAAAATTTAACGATTATTATCTTAGATTAGTTATAGGGGATGGATTTGTGACACTATTTTTTTTATGCAACTTTTGACACAAGGCTTAGTGGGGCCCACTTTCTAATGTGTTTTAACGACTTCAACTATTATATTTTAGATCTTCCCTCATAAATCATGTCTACCAAAAATCACCCAAATATAAAATCATATGACCATTGGATCTAGGGTTTCTTTGTAGAACCGTATTCGTCTATTTTCTTACTACAAATGAATATCTTAATGATTTTGCATTTGTCTAATTTTTTGGAAGATGATCTATAAATGATATTCTAAAAGATAAACGGTTCGGATAATTAAAATATATCACGAAATGCGCCACAAAACCATATGTGAAAAATTATGTAAAAAAATAATGTCACAGAACTGCCCCTTAGTTATATTAGATAAGGAACGTACTTGTAATGAGAAGGAGATATTCCTTGGAAGAAAACCCTGGACTTTGAAGGATCAATGTTTGAATCAACCCATCCAACCCAAGTAATAAGTGCCTTCTCAAAAGCAAGCATGCGGTCAATGTCTTTGCTTATCTGGTCTCCTACTTCAATATAATCCCATCTGCAAAATTAATAATTAATTAATTTGGTTTTTGCCTTTTAACCCCAGTTAAAATTAAATCAAAAGATCCACTTAGTACTAAAGTCTAGTGATATTCTTCTTTACTCATAAGTGAGAGGTCTTAAGTTCGATTCTTGTCACGAATTTAAATCATATTATTGTTAGCCCATTTTGAGGTTGAGCTCACCATTTTTCCTTTAATGCATATAATATCGATTGTTAAAAAAAAAATAAATAAATCAAAAGAAAATGAAATATTATAGTAAATATAGTTGTAGGATTTACGGTTGAGAGGGTCCTCTCCGATTCCACCAATGCCAAGTGTTGAAGATGAGCATGTCAATATCCTTCCATAACTTGCCTCCCACTATTGAATCAAGCTTCAAGACCCTCCCAATCTTTTCTTTTACAATATCTACTAGATACACATTGCGGTCTAGCATCACTCTAACTTCATAATCCTGCAGTAATTTGATTGTATTTTTCACCATGCCATTTACCGCAAGAAAAATAAAAATCAGAGAGAGGACCACATGCTTCTTGTTTGGTAGAGCCGGGACAAAGGTCTATGTCAAATATTGTCCAACCAGGGAATTGAAAGGTGAAATTTGTCATGGACCAATAGTTCCAAAAAGAAAATGGACCAATAGGGATGGACCTTAACCAAGTCTAAAATATTGTATATGATGGATGCATTGCATTCACCGATACCAAATTGATGTGATTTCATTGATGAATTAAGTTGGTAATTTTTTGAAAAGTTCATTATTATTAAAAGGAGGGGGAGGATTCGAAACCAAGCCTAAGATATTGAACCTATATGGAAATTAAGTTGATAATTAGATATAAAGTGCTAATACAATTTTAATTATGCTATTTAGATACAAAACTACATTGTTGCCGAACTCTTTAAATAGAGTTGGAACATACCAATTATATGTGGAACTCAAATAGCATTACTCATACACATTTTTCTATCATTGTTTTCTTATGTTATGTTGCCAAATTGTCAATTTCGATTACACTTTTGAACAACTTACTAATTAATGATTTGGATTCAAAGTCTTGCAACAAAATATGTATACCATTTGGCAACATATTTATTCACCTAGCAAAGATGAAATAATAACAAAAACAAAGTGCAAGTTTAACGTACTGTAAATTCGAAGATAGATACATCGTCTACTCTTGTCACATTATACTTCGCAGTTGGCATAGCCGAATGAAGCATGCATGTTAGGGACTGCCATTGATTTTGGCTTAATGAATCTCCAACAAACATGATGCTTTTCCCTCTAAATTTTTTGAAGAAGTCAAGCCCGTTAAATCTACAAAATAAAAGTTATCAATATTTTAGTGTTTTCTTATCAGACAATTTACCATGTTATATTGCTAAACTATAAGATTAAAACGATTAGTTAAAACTTATGTTTGGCTTTGGTTAACAATTTAGGTACACAATCTCCTTATACATGGCAAGAAAATTTACATACGGATTCATCAATGGTGGACAATCCACGATTCCACTTGTATATGTGTACTTGAGAGACAGTTAAATGATAATCATTATTCATAATTCATATAATAAGCATGTTAATCCTTTCCAAATTTTAGAAAAAAACATTAAGAGTTTGGATTTCTATTTACTATGACTCAACCCAAATCCCCGCTAATTTGTATAATACATTATTGTTATTGCAAAAAATACAAGCTTTGGTAAAATCAGGCTAGGTTTTTCCGAGTATATGGTCTAATATCTTAATGAATAGCATGTTGAGTTCTACCCATGCGTTCTGAGTTCGAAACTCAATTCCTCATTTCTTAAATTATTGTAATAGTTTCGAATACCTTTTCTAAGTTTTTTCTGAACCTAATCATATGATAATTTTCTTTTATGTCAAACACGAAGAACTCACATGACAAATATGGCACCACCGAAGCCCGTGAGCTATATTACACGACTTTAAAAATTAATTTGATGAATTTCATTAATAATTGTCACATGAGTAGAGGCCATATCACATGAGTGTGGGACTAGAAAGAATCCAATTCCGTCACCACTGTGCCATCGCATTATCAAGGCGATCACAGTTCACACAAACCAAGGATGCAATTTTCACCTATGAAAGGCTGCCATCACCGACATTTTCCATGCGGCCAAACATTATATTTCTTACGAAAATCATTGGGAGAGTGTCGCTTTATATATTCAGAGGGGGCCCTCTGCAAGAATTTTTGTGTTTTCAAACATAACATTGATCTACTCAGTTCACAGGATGTCTCCCCCACGAATTATATAAAATTTGTTCATGTGTTTGAGATGTAATAAGGATCACAGTCAAGATCTAAATTTACTTTTTATATTTCGAAAATTTTTATCAAAACAAGTCATTTTCTTAGAATTGATTTGGAATGTGGAATTTCAAATGTAAACAGTGTAATTCATGTCTCCAAAATAAAAAGAAGAATGACAAATTAGTTAATCTTTATAAATTCATATAGTTATATAAATCCATAAAAACAAATTAGTCTAAACCTGTGTAACCCGCATTATTTACAATAATGTTCAAATAGTTTTTAGTTTTAGTCCTATAAAATCCGAAGTCTTTATACTGATGCATCGAAACACGAGGAAAGAAGATTGAGACTACTAAGAACTAAAAACTACTCTTTAGTTACATTAATCGGGAATTAGACTCATGGCTAATTAGAGCTTTTATTTTTTATTTTCAATACAATCAATATTGATAGAGGGGGATTCGAATTTAGAATCTTGAGTGTGAAAGTAAATGTCTTAACCACTTAAATTACAAATTTTTTGCAGAGTTATTTTGTTTTTAAATTTTCTATTATTTGGAATTGGGATGAGCGACAAAAATTCACGATAAGAAGCTAACATCATATCACTATATAAATGTTAAGATCAAAATTTGACCGTTTAATTATTCGTATGGATTAGAGGAATTGACGATTCATCATAATGATGCTACTTGTTACTGTAATAATTGATTTGTTAAGACACAATATGGATTAATAAGCTGCCCCCAAATTCAACAATTTTTTCTAGAGATGATATTTAAATGATGATAAAGAGAGTCAATGATTCTCATATTGTATTATGCAGTGAAATGATATCACATTAATAGAAAATAAAAACTTTCCTCCACCGCGAAAATGAGAGAAAGTATTGTCCTAATAGGATACAATGGGCCAAGAAGTAGAATGAGGATCCTCCAATCACATCCTTTCATCGTATATTGTGCGGTCAAAACTCATTGTAAATTTTTTTATTTGAAATTGAGTATAAACAATACCTGACCAAAATTAGCCGCACGATGTACGATGAAAAAACGTAATTAGAGGATCCCCATGATCCTCGCAAAGAGGATCCTCATTCCAAGCGGTAAACATAAAAGGAAGTAAAACAGGTTCCAACATCCACATCCGATCAAGCAAAGCTCTCAGTTCCGGTTCCATGGTAATTGCAATTATTTTGGTTTGAACCACATGATTGTTTTTTTTTTTTTTTTTTTTGGACATAGAACCATATGATTGTTATAACAAATTTTTCTTGCTAAACTAACGGCCAGATACTTGAACAAGAAACCCTATGGAGGATTCAAATAAAGTGGCCCTCCGCCCACGGGGGTCTATATATCACCAAATTCCAAATTAATGAGTGTAGCAGCCTCTGATGATTTCTTGTTCAGCAGTTCATACTTCAATGTCAACTATTGCCGTTTTTTTTTATATCGAGACAAAGAACAGGTACACTGTTACGTGAATTCGTTTCATGCTAAAAAGATAAGAATATGTAAAATTTCATCTACATGTCCTTATTTCAGTGGCACAAGACGCCATTGTTTTGATAGTTTCAATCATGAATGTTTCAAAGAATTAAACTGTAGAGAATCTCATTCCAAGTATCTGGGACTCCACAAAGACACCAATGACTACAGTCCATTCCGCTGCGGCCTCCCAACCCATAAATTGAAGGATGTCCATCTTTACGCAGGAGTGAGAGATTTGTTATATCTAGCAATGTCACTGGCTTTTTTATTGTGCTCAACACATTCTTCAGCACACTCAGGGCTGGTGGCAAACCTCCTGGATAGGTTGACCCAAGCAAAGGCTCCTTTTGCCCTACACAACTTCTTGCCCTTGGTTCTTGCCATTCACTGCCACTAAAATCAAAATTAAGAAAAGAAAGTTAGAGACTTATGATTGATGTCACCTGAACGAATTCATAAACAGTTCTCCACAACAACTTAATGAAAAATTATAATGACAATTGTTTTCACGTATATTTGGACGATTATTAGTCGTTGATATACCATGTATTAAATTTTACTTTTGTATATATTCTTGATTGACATCCACTCACGACAACATCTAATTAAAAAATTAAAGCTAATGTGTGTCACCAAAACGTTGAATTTTAATTCACAGAACTTTTAATTACACTTCAATAAGTCTTTCTAACTTCTACGTGCACTCTTCTTTAATGAAAATATAATGGAGAAATTGCACTATGAAGGGCATTCTGAGTATAAGATAGATTTCTTAGAGTGCTAATAATAATTCCGTTTTAATTTAAAATTTAACGATTATTATCTTAGATTAGCTATAGGGGATGGATTTGTGACACTATTTTTTTTATACAACTTTTGAAGCACGTCTTAGTGGGGCCCACTTTCTAATGTGTTTTAACAATTCCAGCTGTCTGTATTTTAGATCTTCCCTCATAGATCATGTCTACCAAAAATCACCCGAATGTGAAATCATATGACCATTGGATCTAGGATTTCTTTGTAGAACCGTATTCGTCCATTTTCTTACTACAAATGAATATTTTAATGATTTTGGATTTGTCTAATTTTTTGGAAGATGATCTATGAATAATATTCTAAAAGATAAATGGTTCGGATCCTTAAAATATATTATGAAATGGCCCCACAAAAACATGTGCGAAAAATTATGTAAAAAAAATAGTGTCACAAATCCGCCCCTTAGTTATATTTGATAAGGAACGTACTTGTAATGAGAAGGAGATATTCCTTGGAAGAAAACCCTAGACTTTGCAGGATCAATGTTTGAATCAACCCATCCAGCCCAAGTCATAAGTGCCTTCTCAAAAGCAAGCATGCGGTCAATATCTTTGCTGATCTGGCCTCCTACTTCAACATAATCCCATCTGCAAAATTAATAACTAATTAATTTGGTTTTTGCCTTTTAACCACAATTAAAATTAAATCAAAAGAGCCACTTAGTACTACGGTCTAGTAGTATTATTCTTTATTTGTAAGCGAGAGATCTTAAGTTAAATTCTCGCCAAATTAAAGACGAATTTGAACTATATTATTGCTAGCCCATTATGAAGTTAAGCTCACCATCTTTCCTTTAGTGTAGATAATATCGATTGCTAAATAAATAAATCAAAAGAAAATTAAATATTATAGTAAATATAGTTGTAGGATTTACGGTTGAGAGGGTCCTCTCCGATTCCACCAATGCCATGTGTTGAAGATGAGCATATCAATATCCTTCCATAACTTGCCTCCCACTATTGAATCAAGCTTCAAGACCCTCCCAATCTTTTCTTTTACAGTATCTACTAGATACACATTGCGGTCTAGCATCACTCTAACTTCATAATCCTGCAGTAATTTGATTGTATTTTTCACCATGCCATTTACCGCAAGAAAAATAAAAATCAGAGAGAGGACCACATGCTTCTTGTTTCGTAGAGCCGGGACAAAGGTTTATGTCAAATATTGTCCAAGCAGGGAATTGAAAGGTGAAATTTGTCATGGACCAATAGTTCGAAAAAGAAAATCGATCAATAGGGATGGACCTCAACCAAGTATAAACTATTGTATATGATGGATGCATTGCATTCACCTATACCAAATTGATGTGACTTCATTTGATGAATCAAGTTGGTAATTTTTTGAAAAGTTCATTATTATTAAAAGGAGTGGGAGGATTCGAAACTATTACAATAATTTAAGATTGGGGAGGGGGGGAGGGAGGGAGTTTTGAATCCGAGATGCATGTATGAAAACTCAACACCCTAAGATATTGAACCACATGCAAATTAAGTTGGTAATTATATATATAGTGCTAATACAATTTTCATTGTGCTATTTAGATACAAAACTACATTGTTGCCGAACTCTTTAAATAGAGTTGGAACATGCGAATTATAGTGGAACTCAAATAACATTACTCATACACATTTTTCTATCATTGATCTTCTTATATTATATTGCCAAATTGTCACTTTCGACTACACTT